CTACAGAGGGCAGTAATCCAAAGAGGGGCAGAGGGCTCACTCCAGTCAATCTAATTAGTAATGCATCTACCACACCTGGGTCAATAAAAGAATAAGCTGGGATCCGGGAACGTGCAATAATATAACACAAATCACTAGCACTAAACTAAAATGCATGTACACGAATGCTAGAAGTTTACCAAACAAATTAGAGGAGCTTGAACTTATGATACTTGAAGAGGATTAAGATATAGTGGGAATAACAGAAACCTGGCTAGATAGCTCACATGACTGGGCAACTACTGTATCAGGGTACAACCTGTTCAGGAGGGACAGGGTTGGTAGAAGGGGAAGAGGGGTATATATGTATGTGAAAAGTAATCTTACTGTGCACTTGAGATGACCTTGTGACAGAAAGTGGCGATGGTGTTGAGTCTTTGTGGCTAGAACTAGATAAGACTGATTAGAATTCCAAACTGATTATGGGTGTGTTATAAACCCCCGAACCTAGGGGAAGAGGAGGAGGCTTACACTCCCAAATAGACTTCAATTATCCGGACACTAATAGGTCACATAGTACTGGTCACATGGTACTGCTCACTTTATAAAGGCTGGCTGTTTTCTAAACCTGTTGCGGGACAATTTCATGGATCAGATGGTTAAGGTTGCGACCAGGAAGAATGCAAATCTATCACTAATAATGCGGACCTAGTTCATATAAATTAGGGATACATTGGGTAATAGTGACCACAAGATGATTAATTTTAATGTTGGGTACAGAAAAGAGAAGTGTTTTGGTCTGACAAGAACGCTACATTTCAAAAAGGCGAGGTAGGCCCAAGAAAAGATGAGAATGGGAGATTAATCACAAACGACAGACAGAAGGCTCAGGTATAAAATTAATTATTCTCCTCAGTATACACTCTAGAAAAAGACGGGTTTAAGGGAGATAAGAATGTGAGTAGCTCAATGCGTAAAATACCGCAGTGGTTGACGGTAGCCGGGGTTCAACAAAGACTTGTAAAACTTAATGCAACACAAGCTGAGGGCTATGGGCAATGCACATGGTGCCTAAGTGAACGCATGATGCAGAATCCAGTGCGTTCAGCCAAGGAGTCAACAGATCCATAAGTCTGAAAAGAATGAAACTGCAATAGATATGTAGCAGCTGGGAAACTCAAAAAAAATGTTGGTTCACCCTAAGACAGTAGCAAAAAAGTGAGTCTTGCAGGCAGTGGGAGCGGTTATATAGGCTATCCTTACAGCTTTGTTTGCCAATGTCAAATCACCTAAAGGCACCTGCATAACCCATGGCCTAATACTGCAGATCCTGTGTCCTGTAATTTACAATACTAAAATAGTTTGAGTGCCCCTTTTACTGAAAATATATTTGAGCAAGTATGTGACACACTGAAAATTGCAATTATCATTCAATTTTATAGGTCCTCTGCTCTCAATAAATATATATTATTTCGGTTGTTTTAAGTGACTTCCATGTAACAAAAATGTTGACTTTAGTATGCGTATAACATTTAGGCAGGCAGAATAAGTTCCTCATTAAGGAAAACACTACCTTGAACAGAAAGAACAAAAGCTCAAATGACCAGCTTGTGCTTGTGAGCACTAGGAAGGTACAAAGTTCAAAAAAGGAACTCTGAAGGGCTAAAAAAAAAAAACCTAGGCTGTGGCCTATAAAGATGTGGAAACTTGACAAATGGGACAATAAGAGCGCCTCTCTGTACAAAGGATCAAGGAATGAGATATCTGGGCCATTGTAAAAAGATGACAGAGTGAAGATGTGGCCCGCAAAGTTTCCTAATGACAGTCACTGTTTAAGGCCAGCCAAGTTGCCAAGCAAAAGAGTAGGGCTTAGAACTAAAACAGCTGGCAGTGCACCACAGGAAAAAGGCCTTCCAAGCATGTTGATAGATGTGATGTATTAAAGGCTTACAAGCAAGAAGCATGGTGAAGAGGACTGCTTCCTTCAAACGGTGTTCTCTCAGATGAAAAAACAATTTTATTATACAAATGGCAAAAAGTGGAATGAAACTCACAAAAGAGTAGATAACATTGAGCCTTCAATTCAAAGGTTGATCCTCAGTTTTGGCAAAAAGCAAGATATAGCATGTGAGAGCTGCACAAATGGTGGTTCCTATGTGACAGCACAGTATGCCTAGGTTAACCAGCAGAGCAGAGTCTTCAGAATCAAATGGACCCTAGGAACTCTAGTAGCTAGAGTATACAGTAGGTGTGATGAAGACTTCAGAGATTCCAATCGTTTGGTCAATAGTGAAGTGTCATGATATACTATGTTGCTGAAAGCCAGCAACAATAAATTGTTAAATCTATTTGTGTTTAATCTATTCATTGTTTGTACTACTCTACCTATATATTGTAGACAACATGTATTCTTAATTACATAAACAACTTAAACTGAGCCACAATTCATTTAGGTCTTTATAGGCCATGTTGTTTCTAATGAGCAAGAGGTTACACAAGTTTGATTATAAAACATGAGGACTGGCATATTTTTAGTCAGGAAGCCCCTCTGAAAAACATTATTACCAAGACCCCAGAATTATTATTAAGGAGATCCAAAACTCTAGGGATTTAGGTGGCCCCAAGTAAAATTAGAACCATTTACGATCACCAATTCAGAATCAGATGTGAACACAAATTGCGCACCATCAAACTTATTTAAACATAGTCAAACTTATATAATTTCTTACACATTAGGAAACATGATGGCTTAACCCTTTCGCCGCCAAGCCCTCCGGAACATTTTTCAAATCAGCTGGCCAAGCCATTTTTGAATTTTCTGCAATTTTTTCCTATTGATTTGATTTTCAACTGCTGCGTTGCTAGCGTTTGTAAAAGACCCCCCAAACCATATATTTTCTGAAAGCGCAGGCCCGGTAGAATAAAAAGATGGTGATACTAAATTTGTAGGCCCTGCGATAATTGCGCAAATGTTTCTCAAATTAATATTAAACCGATAAAAATACACAATTCAATTGTTAAAACACACCAAAATCAGTATCCGTGCACAAAAAAATATTTTTTGACTAAATCTAAAAGATAAAACTGTATATGAAAGGGTTAAAAAGACTTGCATGAATTGTGGGTCACTTTTTGTGGTTTAAATAATCAAATATGCTTGTTTTTTTTTTTTACCCTTTAGACTTGTACATCCTACATACACCATTATACAACTTTTATAGATCTATAAGAATTAATTATATCCCTTAAAAAATTAACATCTGCAAGGGTTAAACACACTGCAAGGGTTAACTTACCTGATGGCAGACTGATCCCCACAGCCTCTTCTCCACCGGGCTCCTGCGGGTTAAGCCCCATTGAATTCATCACACCTAATTCAGGTCCATTCACCTGAATTAGGTATGAGGACACCGCAGGACATACCACAGCTGCCCTGGAGGGGGAGAGAGGAGAGCACTTACCATCAACGAGCAGTTAACTCTTGTAGTGCACTACAAGGGTTTACTTTCTACATTCCTGTACCATGATTTTATATACAGTGGTACCTCGGTTCACGAACTTAATTCGTTCTGGTCGCGAACCGAATCAAATACTGTATGTGCTAAAAAGCACAGCAACGGAAGCAAAACTTTGCTGAACTTTCAGTTTGCAAACTGAACTGTTCGTGAACCGAGGTATTACTGTATATATATATGCTAAATTTGTTTGAAATATTGATATTTTGCATAATTTAGAACTGCACATATATAGCACCTTTTCAGCATACAGTTAGCATATACTGTATTTGAGCTTGATATTTGAACTAATCTCTTAATTTCCAGTACCAGGTTTTAAACAACTGACTTTTTCTGTGTGTTATTATGATAACACAGAAGTGATAGAGTGCCACCCTGAAAGGCATCGTAGCTTTCTGCAGTGTACAGGAAAGTTTTTTTATGGGGAAAGGAAGTGCAATGGCTATAAGAGGATACCCTGATGGTTTTGCCATCTGTTACACCCAGAGTGATATTAGTGCAGGAAATGTGGTGGATATTATCATGATTGCATCTACCTTAAGGCTACCTGGGGAAGCCTTAATATTTGCACATGATGGGAATAAATGCATGTAGCTGTAATACATCATAAGATAATATACAGCCAACATATGTTTTGACTTTATTAGTGTGCTTCTACTAGATGCACCTTGCTTCCAGACATTTTGCTTTTTAGCATGCCAGTGTAGCTGGGAATGAAAGGTTCTAGTGGAACCCAGATTTTGACTGTAGCTTCAGCTATGACATAAACAGCTTACAAAGTGATTGATGCTTGCAGTATTTACCTTACAACTAAAACACTACATGAAGTTTAGGAAAAGGCAATTATAAATGTGTTAAAGAGACCCTAAACACCCTGTAAAGACACAGCAACAACCCCTTTTGAACCAGCCTAATTACACTCAAAGAGAAAGTAGCAAGGGTTGCAATAAAATGCCAAAGTTTGGTGACTATGGTGTGCCACTGACCATATAGTGACCTGGGAACAGTGGATTTCCAAGATTTGGGGATCTGGTGTGAAACTGCCAGCAGCATGAAATCTTTAATATTTCTCTTAATCCAGCAGCAAGCTGGGAGAAACGTCCGACCTCTAATGAAAACCCGGCTAAACTAAGCCTGACTGGCTGTACGGGAGAGTATAACATAGAGGGAGGAGCTAAGCCTTCTGGTTACTTGGTGTCCAAACTCCTAGTAGCAGAGAATATACTCAGTGGTCTATTTATTGGTCCTCCAAAGAACACGTATACAAGTTTCCCATTTTAGACATCTTTTAATACATTCTTTGGTGATATTAGTTAATGTTGAAAATTTTGCAATTTTATTTAATATTAACAAGACAACTACTCATCCTGGAACACAGACTGTATGGATCGTTACCATCTTGTATTAACTTTACTCGCACCTATACTAATAGCTGTTATTGTAAATACTCTGATGATCACCTGCAACGCCAAACTATATTATATATGTATATCCCTACAAACTCACTTGGGAAGAGGGAGCTCTGGGATGTGGTCTATCCGGACCAGTTGCCGAATACGAAAACGGCACAAATGTTGCAAAGACTTCACATTGCTGAATCGAGACACTGGATACAACAGCTGTACCGGGGTAGGAGGGAGGCCTGAAAGAAAGAATACACAGGATGTATAAAACTGCTGCTTGATTTTAGGAGCTGCATTAGAAAAGCAGTAACAAATTCAACTAGATACGACTCAAAGGGACAGCCCTTTATTTTACACTTTTCGTAGTTCCATAGCATTCCAATTAAGTTTACCACCACGCTGAGAAATATTGATAGAACCCCAAATCCCCCAAAACGTAACATATTTAAATAATAAATCCCCCAGATTGGACAAAGGAAATAATAAAACTTACACAGGCACACAAGCTGCCACCAATCACAGTGATTAAGTGAAGATGGAGGAATCTGTTGCACCTTTTCCATCTGACCACAGAAAATCTGCAGATAATTGTAAGGCTGGGCACACACCTTACAACCATCGCAAGACTTTTGTCTTGCGATGGTTGTAAGGTACTTAAAAAAACGTACGATCTGCCTATCTTGCATAGGCAGATCGTACTTGCGATGATCGCAAGCCACGCCCCCTGAGGGGCGGGCTTCCGATGACCGCAATGCCGAACGGGCAGTGTGCGCTTGCGCACACCGGCCCGTACGGCTGTTATCGTACGGACATGCCACAAACCCGCCGAACATCGTACGATGCTCGGCGGGTTTTCGAACATGTCCGTAAGTTTAAAGTCGTGCGACCTTACAGTAGTAGAGGTCGCACGGCTTCCACACACCTTACGATAATCGTACGATCGCGGGATTTCCCGCGATTATCGTACGATTATCGTAAGGTGTGTGGGGACCTTAAGGTGTATGGCCAGCTTTACACCTGTAATCAGTATACTATGCTCTCCAGCAGACTGGCACACAAGCTTTCATCATCTTACATTGATTAGTTAAACATACAGTGAGGAAAATAATTATTTGATCCACTGCAGATTTTATAAGTTTGCCCACTTACAAAGCAATGAAAGGTCTATAATTTTTATCATAGGTGTATTTTAAATGATAGAGGCAGAATATCAACCAAAAATTCAGAATAAACACAATACAAATGTTATAAATTGAGTTGCAGTTCAGTAAATAAAATAAGTAATTGGCTACCCTACCCTCCAACAATAATTCTGACTCCAACAGACTGGCTATGTGGTACACAGATTAGCCCTGTCAATTTAAGAAGGTGCTCCTAACGACAACTCATTATGTATATAAAAGACATCTGTCCACAGAATCTCTTTCTTCCATTCAAGCCTCACCACCATGGGCAAGACCAAAGAGCTGTCAAAGGACGTTAGGGACAAGATTGTAGACCTGCACAAGGCTGGAATGGGCTACAAGACTATCAGCAAGAAGCTTGGTGAGAAGGAAACAACGGTTGCAGCGATTATTTGCAAATGGAAGGAATACAAAATAACCATCAAATCGCCCACGGTCTGGAGCTCCATGCAAGATTTCGCCTCATAGGGTAAGGATTATCATGAGAAAAGTGAGGGATCATCCCAGAACTACACGGGAGGAGCTTGTGAATGATCTCAAGGCAGTTGGGACCACAGTCACCAAACAAACCATTGGTAAAACAATATACCGCCATGGATTGAGATCCTGCAGCGCCCGCAGGGTCCCCCTCCTCAAGGAGGCACATGTACAAGCCCCTCTGAAGTTTGCCAATTAACCTCTAAATGATTCAGAGAAGGATTGGGAGAAAGTGCTGCGGTCAAATGAGACCAAAATTGAGCTCTTTGGCATTAACTCGACTCGCCGTGTTTGGAGGAAGAAAAATGCTGACTATGACCCTAAGAACACCAGCCCTACAGTCAAGCAGGGAGGCGGAAATATTATGCTTTGGGGCTGTTTCTCTGCTAAAAGTGCAGGCTGACTTTGCCGCATTGAGGGGCCAATGGACGGGGCCATGTATTGTAAAATCTTGGATGAGAACCTCCTTCCCTCAGCCAGAACACTGAAGATAGGTCGTAGATGGGTCTTTCAGCATGACAATGACCTAAAACTTACCGCCAAAGCAACAAAGCAGTGGCTCAAGAAGATCATGTGAGATTGTTCGCATGTTCTAGTCACATGTGCCAGAGCTCTAGGAAGTAAAAGGGAGATATATTAATCTACCCTTAGTTTAAAAAAAGGCCACCGTAAGAAGAACGGGGAGCAAAAGAAAAATGAGGTATGCAAAGAATAAAAAGTATGCAATTATCTATAAATATTTGTTTGCAGATTGCCATACTAAACATTTCTAAAGGTGGGTTTGTTGTCATTTCAAAGATAAGGGTAAAGTTGCTCTTTAAGCTTTTTGCTTACTGGAATCATTACCGACGCATAGGGAACTTAATAAGAACTCTCTTATATTACATGATTTGTCTAACATGTTTGTATTCTACTTCAACCTCTCTGCTATAAACCAGGCTTTTGCAGTGATTTTTATAACCCCAGACAAGGTATGGGAGTTATGAGTTATTACATTTTCCAGAACCGTATTCTTAGATTTGAATAAACTTAATGGTCTCAGGAACCAGGTTGGAACTATACAATATGATGAATGCAGACACAGAGTTTGTTGAAGGAAGCTCTTGGACCCTTCTTGCCCTGTGGCGCTAAAAGGTGCATAGTAACCAGTGATATTTTCCAGAGTTAAAGAACTCTGGGCAGAATAAAAATAAACCCTTGCAGTGGGGTTACCCCTGCACTGCAAGAGTTAAGGACATGTTTTGGTCTAGGATGTAAAGTAAAAAGATATAGTCGCCATATCCTCGGGCCTGTCTGGGTGCTAAACCGGTCCCCACAGCCTCTTTTCCTCCAGGCACAGGCAATCTAAGGATCCATGACGTCAACATGACGTCAGAAAAAATGCCATCTTAGATCTAATTGTCACTAATAATGCAGAGTTAATCGAGGATATTGTAATTGGGGAGTCATTGGGTAATAGTGATCACAATGTGATTACTTTTAATATTGAACACAGAAAAGGGAAGTGTACTGGAAGGACTAGAACCCTAAACTTCAGAAGGGCCAACTTTGATAAGCTGCGCAACCTAGTGGGGGAAATAAAATGGGAAAACTTATTTCAAAACCTAAACACAGACCAGATGTGGGATTGTTTTAAATACACACTACATACTGCTACTTCAAAGTGTATACCTTTAGGGAGCAAAAATAAAAGATCAAAGACTAAACCAATATGGTTTAATAAAACTGTAAAACAAAACGTCAAGGACAAGAGCGCGGCATTTATAAAATATAAGACGGAGGGGACGGCATTGGCGTTCCTTAACTACAAAGAATATAACAAAAAATGCAAACTAGAAATCTGGGCAGCTAAA